AATCTTTAATTTTGAACTTCAGACTACGGACTCCCTCATTTTGTTGCGGACTCCCTCTTTTTCAGGGTAGGGAGTTGGACTACCCTGTTCAAAAGTTAATTTCTACCCCTGAAGCTGACTCAGCTGTGTGTCATGTGCATCAAACCTGCATGCCTGTAGTCCAGGCTTCTATTCCTTCTTTGTCTTCCCACACTGATGGTGAGGAGCTTGCAAACAAAGCTTGAGTTTTAAATAAATAAATTAATAAATAATAAATTAATTAATAAGCAGGTAATCTGTATGATCTGTACATTTCCTCGCAGTCGCTTGTCAGGGAGTGCCGACCAGAGAAACTAGAGAAAAACATGACTGTTGAGGAATTTGAAGGTAGGTTCTACACAACTGCGAAACTAATTCATAGATGTTTTTTTCAGGCTGTATCTGTAGTCTTAACCATCACTTTAATTTCCTCATTCCTGCAAACATATCAAGTCTGTCTGAATTGTGGTGTTAGATTAAGCGTGTGTCAGGCATGAGAGTGGAAGCGACCTTGACACAACTTACAACAACTGGTTTCATGGAGGACATGATAAAAATTTTATCAACAAGCGATCGAATGGTGAACTGCTTGAAACCTGCTGAAATAATGATAGGAAATTGGCAATGAATGCTCAACAGTGAGACTTAGTTGATCGTACATGTAGAAATAATAGGATCTCTATTCAGATATTCCCAGCCGCAGTACTATTGAAATAAAACGTCTCTAATCACGGAAACTGTTTTTTCACTTACAATCGGTAAGAAGTGTATATATGTCAAGAAAACCTGGTTACGGATTGTGTACTGTTGAGTTGCTGCTGATTTTCTCATTACTGAAAACCAAGTTGCTTTTGGTTGCTTCCAGTCGTACACCCGCCATATGCTACACTTAAACTGGATAACGTTCTCTTGTTTCAGATGAACTACAGGAGGCGATGTGTCCGTATCTGACGTGTGAGCGATACTTTGAACATCCTGGACTAAGGGTATAGCGACAGTTTCCTGCTACCAAACGATTGCACATTGCGAGAAGCTAAGCACTAGATAAGACATAACAAAGCTCCACCAAAGAATTCAATCCAAAGAATTACCACGGAGAAATCTGTAGAGCTGTATCTCGCGTGATTAATTTATCGTCTGCTCGTCTTGCAGGGTTACGGCCATCTTGTCATTATCTACTTCATCGTCATCATGTGCATATTCGGCGTCGTGTTGCTGATCTGTTACCTGGCCTTCGACGCTGTGCAGTAAGTGTTGGTTGCCCGTGTGGGGGTTATCCATGTATGGTATCCATGTGGGATACCAGGTATTTGAAATATGGTATCCCCCCGAAAGATCTGGTATCCCTTTTTTTAGATAGTAATTTCAACAATGTTGGTATCCATGCAAAAGTTTGAAATAAGCAATAATGACGTTTCACGCTTTTTCTCGTTCATCGCTCGCGGCCAACCAGCCAGCGCGCGTTCATTTTACATACGAGACCGATGAGAATCAGGGTGCCTGAGCCCGTTCAGATCGCGCGCACTCGCTCTACGCGCACTCGCTCAGATGCGTTGCCGTATAAAGTTGATGACTCAACAACCACTATCCTGATTTTGACGATTTTTTTTACTATCGAGGCGGGATACCAAGCATTGGAAATCTGGTATCCAACACAAAAATCTACTATCCCGCGGATATCGGGATACCGCTAATTTCGACCCCTGCTGTGTTGGGGAGCAGCATTCGCTTATTTTCTCCACGTAACTCTGCTCCATAACTGTCTGGTGCTGACCGGGGGTCTGTCGGTACTGAATAATTTCTGCCAGTGAAAAAATAAGAGGTATGGTTCAGCACCTGCCTTTATGTATTGCAGGTTTTCAGAAAAACATGAACTGCTTTTTTGCTGAGATGCTTTTGCAATTGCTTGTAATGTGTAATGGCGTCATCGTTGGACCGATGACATCAAAATACCCACAAATTACATTTGCGTAATTTCCTAACCGAAAGTTGCATGTTCTTGCCAGGATTTCCTAAAAGTCTTGGAGGTGGTTAGACTAGGAAGTAATTGTAGAGCTTAGGGGAGGAGTTTACTTAGAGTGAGTTCTGGATCAGGAGTTTAGTCGGTGTGGCTAGGAATCAGGGGGGAAGCATTAACGATCAGTAGGTTAGTATCAGCGCTGGTGATCGTTAAGGAAGGGTGGGGTTCCTGGGATTGCAGCAGGCGTTCTTACGTTCATGTCGAGTGCTTGGTTGCTGACGTCTGGCCGTATTTCTGCAGGGAAGAGCAGAACTCACACCGGCGCTACTACGTGCGCGTTCCCGAAGACGACAGCGACAACGACTACAACTACAGCGCTGACTACGATTACGATAGCGTCACGCGCAGCCCTTTCCACCAGGTGCAGAGCCTGCGCAGCCGCATACACGCCGCCGGTGACGACACCTAGTGGCGGCTAGTCGAACCATTACGCTTTCTAGGATGCTGCAATGTTGTTGTGATGTGTGTCCGCAGAGACGAGGAAGAAGAAGGCTCAGACTGCAGTTCATACCTGACATACATGTGTGACTGAAAACGTGTAAGATGTAACATGTAAAATATGTTGGAAGGGTTTCTTTCAACGCGGAACTAGTCAGTGCAGTGTCTGCAAACAAACGCGGTGTTCACCTGGGCAAGTGAAACACGGTAGGCAAATTAAATTATCTTCGTCGTCAGATTTATGTAATTGTACAGTCGTTCGTCGTCGCATGGCTTGACGTTTGTTCGCGATTTCTTTTCGAAATGCTTTTACACGGGTATGTTTATCAGAATTTTTCAGTAATTTTAAGTAATTTCAGTATTAAGAGATGTAATTCGATATTTATGCCTGGAGTTTTATGACCCGGGACAGCTTATGTCAGAACTGTCAGTTTGTAAAAAAATATTTTGATAGGAATCATGTAGTCATTGTTAATGGAATGATCTTAAAATATAAATGCATCGTATAAATAAATGAACTGTGTCACACTGTATACAGCTAGAGGATATTGTATGCCTTTACTATAACTGAAATGGTAAATAGTTAGGAAGCAAATGAAGGGAGCAAAGAAAAACAAGTGACCAGGCAGCAAGGTAGTAGTGAAGAGTAGAAGTCAGTTGTGCATACAGTACACAATCTATTATCCGAAATTCTGAAAACCGAAAAGCTCCGAAAACAGAGTTTTGTGGTGGTTTGCACAGCAAAGCTCACGTTTGGCTGCACAAGGTGCACAGCAGAAATATTAATGTGTTTGGCATTACTCATACATATTGTACTGTACCGATACAGCACATGGCCGCGTAAAAACTTGGGTTTTAGTACTGGCTAGTTGCAGGATATAGGATATACGGTATGTATATCTGTACTGTACTACCATTCCAAAATCCGAAAAATTCCGAATTCCGAAACGTGTATGGTCCCAAGGGTTTCTGATAATAGATTGTGTACTGTATTTAGAAATGACTCGTTACTGCGCCGAAGCAGAACATAAAATGATAAACAAAAAATTGTCTCATACCAAGGCCATTTATTTGAATAATTCACACTAGAGGGCTACCAGTTAGAAATAAATAGGGACAATAATTCTACTGCAGATGAGAATATTCACAATGGCATTTACAACTACTCGCCTGCTGGTGGCGTCTGCATAAACACATCGCCACTCACCTATCTTTCTAGGAAATCTCTAGCTACGTGGGTAGTCAAACCCGTCGTGCAATCGCCAGAACTGCTCAATTCAGCGATTGCCCCAGAATTCCGTCTATAGTGGACCCATTGAAATTGATATTCAATGAGTGCAGCGTTGTTGTGTTAGTGTGCCGCTACGCAGCGTTTTTCGCGCTTCGCGCGAGATCTGGCTGCCGATTGTCTAGGGAATATCAAGGACAAGCTTTACTTTCAAACTAATGAATGGCTACGAAGTAATTGACCCTACAAAATTATTTACAAGATCGAAATACAACAGTACTAGTGGCCATAGCCTCAAATCGTTCACTCCGCGTCCACGACTAGAGTTAAGGAAACATTTTTTTCAGGTTTAGAGTAATAAATCACTGGAATAACCTGTCAGAAGAAGCAGTACAAGTTAAATCAATTAACTTGTTCAACAGCCATGTGGATAAATATGTAAGGATAGGGGTTTATACAAGACAGTAGTCTTCCTACCCTTCGATCCACTCCAAACCTACAGGTAAGGGGTGGAATCAGGTAAATCAGGCAAATCAGACAATTTTGGCAAGAGGTTGAAAGCTTGTTTCATCGCTCAATGCTGTCACAGTCACAGTGTCGTCACGTCCGTACCGGGGTACGGACTCAAACTCCTGTTTTAAAGTGCATTGTGACCCTAACCCTAACCATAACCCTATTAACCAAAAAAATATTTCTACAGTTGACACTGTGACGTCATTGAGCGACAAAACAAGCTTTCAACCTTTAGCACAATTTTGAGCCCAAGGATAGACCACGTTCTCTATCCTTGAACCCAATTTTGAACAAACTTTTGAAGTTGCCATTATCATTATTATATATGACCTGCGGGTTCTTTTGCCACTCCTGTGCTTCTTTTGTAAACTAGATATTAACTATAACTTGTATATTTCCTATTTGGCGCGGTAAACTGTATAATTCACGACTTATGCACAAATAAACATCTTGAATCTTATATCCAAAACAAGGAGTGGGCGCAGCCATCTTCCCATGCATTAGGCCTAATGGAAAACCCGTGTGCTTAAAAAGGTAATAATAGTCATGATATAATAGACATGAACACACCAACACAATACATTAATTTTATTGCTATATAGTATTTATTTAAATTAAAATCAAATATAATTCTATTTAGCATATATATTATATCATGGGCCGAGTCTGCTATGGGTCGACGAGTGGACCCGACTAGACCCGACACCATCTGATCTCGATGTTGTTTTCTATCTGTGGGATTCTGTGCTGTTTTCTATTGTGACACTCAAATAGCTCCTTTCATCTAAGAGTGATCCTTGCTCCTTGCTCCTTGCATTAGTTAGAACCGCAAAATCATTGTTTTAGCGTGTTATACATTATAATAACACTGATTTCGTAAATGGATACATACGGCGACATCTAAAATGCGCGAAAATGGAACCTTCATTGACAAATTTCATAGTTTTATGGACGATTGCTTGTTGTTGCATGGTAATCAAAACTGGCGAGACGTTCAAACATTTTTGTTCTAAGTTTGAAGCTGTTATATAATTCAGTATATCGTAGTTTATGTTAGCTTACATAGTCACGCCTTAACAAACATGTGCCCGTAATTATTGCTGAGAGGGTCTATGTCCCCCAGGGTACTGCCGGAACGTACCCTGTGTACGGTCCTTTATAGTGTATACTGGAATGTACCCTGGTACTAT